AGACAAGTATCCAGCAAAGGAGTGTTTCCCGCACGCAGACTCCAGTGGCCCCAGCAGGGGCTCAGTCTGGCAGAATATATGTACATGTTGATCTTTTGGAAAAAAAGAATGTTGGGTAGTATTCAGTTTCTTTCTCTTGAGTAGGCTTTGGATATTCCCATTAGTTATATTTAGTTCACTCTGTATACATATATATTTAAAATCTATGCATTTTACATAACTTTTGCTTAGCCTAAGATTTATAACCTAACCAATTAGACTTGCAATCAAGAAGAGAAATGGTATGTAATGATGTATAGGCCCTTGAGAGAAGTAGCCTATAATTCTCAAGATTATTGGCAAAAAAAAATACACCTCCCAAATGGGATTTCGATTCTGTGGCAGTTGAAATGTGTATTATTAAACTCCTTAAGCAAACCAGAATGGCTCCCAATGGAGAGCAAATACGTTCTAAGTATAGCCAAGACTAAATTCTCAGGTCTGGGTTTTCTCTACTCAATTCCCTCTTGATCAGTTCCTGTAATATTTAAACTTTGTGCCATGCCATAATTATTTAATAAAAAGTAAATATAAAATGTATCTCAGTGGGGTTCATGACCTTCTACCTTCAGGTTATTCTACCAAATAAAATGCAGATAAACAGAAAATCTGGATCAGAGTAATATTCTGTCTCACCCAATAGTTTCCTCCATGCAGTGTCCAACATTCTGATCCTGCAAGGTGCTGAGGATGTGTTTTGAGATATGTGAAGCACTTTCAGCCCTACTCACAATAAAGCAGGCAGACTCAGGAGGCACCCGTCGCCCATGCCCCTTGCCTTCTGCCTCTTCCCAACTTCTTCCCCCTTCAGCCCCTTCCCTCTCTCCTTACTGTCAGACCCTAGTCTCTCTGAGCACATGGAAGCAAGGAGCAAATTTGAAAACACTGAACACAAAACAAACATACCCATAGTAATTCACATACAGTACCCATATACTTAGTTCATCCAGAACTGATGCATTTTACTTTTTTAAAAACTGCTGAGAGTTTTATCACGGATACTCCATAAACACACTTTTAAGCAACACTTTGGCACCTGTGTATATGTATTCCAAACTATGTAAGTTATCAGTCCAAAGCCACAAGGCTCAGGAATTACCATACAATTCATTGTGCTGGGCCCCAGCAGTCAACAGCATTTCAAGCCATGGTGATCCCACAACTCAGCACTACTCAGTATGTGTGTACTCCAGATACTTCCCCCCCAAAAAATCCATGTGCTGATTACCCTCCCCTCCCAGTCATGACTGGAACCAGGTGTTCTTGTCAGGAGTCCTGGGATCCTGCCCAAATTTATATGCAGATGAGGTGCAGTGCAATCTGGTCTAGCTCCACCTCATGGAGGGTGGGACCAAACTAATCATATAAAAGAAGGAGATGAGGTGACAGAGGGAATCTGGGTGGACTCTTTGGGCCCCTTTGGTGATATTTACCAGACATTTAAGGCTGGTGAAGAAACAGGAATCATTGGAAATGGGAAAGAAAGGTGCAGCTCAGTAGTGGGAGTGAAGAAAAAGTCGAAATGTATACAACGTACTGGCTCAATGTGACTGAAAAAAGTGTCTGTGTTGAGGTGAAGGAAGTGTGCTCAATGGGCACTACCATAAATCTTATTGAGGGAGGCTGCACTAACCTATTCTTGTATTTGGTTCCCAACAGCATGTTTGCCCAATATGAGCCATGTGAAAGAACAGGTTAGAAACTATTTAGAAAAGCTGGACACGGACAAGCTCATGGGCCTGGACATGATGCACTTGAGGGTGCTGAGAGAGTTTGGCCAATGTGATTGCAGAGCTGCAGGCCATCATCTTTGAAAAATTATGGTGATTGGGATAGGTCCCGGATGATTGGAAAAGGGCAAATATAGTGCCCATCTGTAAGAAAGGGAAGGAGGAGGATCCAGGGAACTACAGGCCAGTCAGCCTCACCTCAGTCCCTGGAGAAATCACGGAGCAGGTCCTCAAGGAATCCATTTCCAAGCACTTGTAAGAGAAGAAGGTGATTAGGAGCAGTGAACATGGATTCACCAAGGGCAAGTCATGGCTGACCAACCTGATTGCCTTCTATGACAAGATGACTGGCTCTGTGGATGTGGGGAGACCAGAGGATGTGGTGCACCTTGACTTTAGTGAGGCTTTTGATATGGCTCACCATTCCCACAAAATTCTTGCAAGCACACTAGGAAAGTATGGGTTGGATGAATGGTCTATAAGGTGGATACAAAATTGGCTGGATCATCAGGCTTGGAGGGTATTAGTCAATGGCTTGATGTCTAGTTGAAAGCCAGTATCAAGTGGAGTGCCCCAGAGGTCAGTCCTGAGACCAGTTTTGTTCAATATTTTCATCAATGACCTGGAAGATAGAATGGAGTGCACCCTCAGAAAGTTGATGTATGACACCAAGCTGGGGACAGTAACATATACACTGGAGGGTAGGGCTAGGATTCAGAGAGACATTGACAAATTGGAGGACTGGAACAAAAGAAATATCACAAGGTTCAAAAGACAAGTGCAAAGTCCTGCACCTAGGATGAAACAGACCCATGCACTAGTACACGCTGGGGACCAACTGGTTAAAGCAGCATCTCTGCAGGAAAGGACTTTGGGATTACAGTGGACAATAAGCTGGATACAAGCCAGCAGGGTGCCCTTGTTGCCAGGGGGACTAACAGCATCCTGGGCTGCATTAGTAGGAGTACTGCCAGCAGATGGAAGGGAGTGATTCTTTCCCCTCTATTCAGCACTGGCGAGGCCACATCTGGTGTACTGTATTCGGTTTTGCCCCCCCTCCCTACAGAAAGGATGTGGACAAACTGGAGAGTGTCTAGCAGAGGGCAACAAAAATGGTTAGGGAGCATGATTTCTGAGGAGAGGGTGAGGGAACTGGGCTTTTTTAGTTTAGAGAAGAGAAGACTGAGGGGATTTAATAGCAGCCTTCAATTACCTGCAGGGGGGGTCCAAAGGAGATGGAGTTGGACTGCTTTCAGTGGTGACAGATGACACAACAAGGAGCAATGATCTTGAGTTGCAGCAAGGGAAGTTTAGGTATTAGGAAAAACTGTCTCATTACGAGGGTGGTAAAACACTGGAACAGGCTATCCAGAGAGGTTGTGGACTTTCTATCCTTGGAGGTTTTTAAGAGCCAGATCGACAAAGCCTTGGCTGGAATGATCTAGTTGGGGCTGGTCCTGCTTTGAACAGGGGGTAGGGACCAGATGACCTCATGAGGACCCTTCCAACCGTAATTTTCTATGACTGAGCTTTATAGTGATGGGCAGTGTTGGCTGCATTTAATCAATTTAATATTTGGTTTCCATTACTGAATACATGCTGCTTTTGGCAGCAGTTTAATGATATTTATGTATTTAAAGAGTTTTCCTTGTATGCAAATGTAAGATGAAGGGGTTGTTTCCCCATGCTGATTGCAGGGGAGCGGGGATCTTACCTTGTATTTGGGCACATACAATAGTACAGGAGAAAGGAAACAGTGACCTTGCTAAATGTCTATACATGTAATTCATTGAATTGCTCCTGGAATTTTTAGCAAAATTCTCAGTCTTTTTTGTTTTGATTTCTCATTTAAAATGCCATTAATACTTACAAATGCAAGTTTGATTTAAAAAGTCAGATCTTTCTTTGATTTGTAAGTTTTAATAATCAGAATGTTGATCCTATCCCTGCAAAATACTTAGAGAGCTAGAAAAAATCATTTTTATTCTGAAGTAAGCAGTTCAATTTTGATCAATCCGAGTTTGGATTGTAGCTTCACACCGGATGTTCTTAAACTGATGAAATTTTATAGTGTTAGCGGTAGGTCATGATTTTGAGGGCTTCAATTTGCAAGTGCTCAGTCTGAGACACCCACCCTATGTTGCTTTGCAAGTTAAAGACATAGTTCCCAGGGTCATGACTCAACATCTGCTAGTTTATCTGCTAGAGACTACTCTCCGCTTTATGAATGTATAGTTGCCTGTAAGAACAGTTTTGGATTGCTTTCATGGTGCGTCTCTTACTTTTATACAGCACAGAGCAGGATACATGTATCAACTTTACCTAAATTAAATTAAATGCTCCTTCCTGAAGGATGAGCTTCTCAGCAATCCTCTGTTTTTAAAATGATTCTCTGAGTTCCTGGTCTGGAGTTTATTGAAGAAGACCTTATGGAAAACAGTCAAAACTGGAAACTGGGGCACTTCTAAGTGCACAAGTCACATTTTTCTGTTCCTTGATTGAACAAGCCTACCTCATTAGAATCAGGTTACCCTTGTGAATGCTTCTGTTTGAAGCTTTGCAAATAGCATGCAGCAGTTTCTTAAAATTTGCTGCTTGCTTTGACATTTGTGCTCTTGCTAGCCTATTTACTGGAACTGCATACAAAGTCACTTCAGCTCTACATATTGGAACAAACAGTCATATATGCCTGTGTGCCCACTTAGCACTGTAACTATTTAACAAGATAAAGCTGTACTGAGGAATTCTGCCTAAGTAGTAGCATGTAGCTCATTGAGCAAATAAAGGCAGGAACACTTTCCATCTGTGCAGTTCAGGAAATGGAGAAGGATATTGGAAGTTAGGAGATGTGTTCTATAACTACTGAACTAATAACTTCTGTACCTCACTTTTCCTGTCCACAAAATGAAGACATCTTTGCAAAAAGTCTTGAGACCCTCACACAAAAGATGCTATATTACTTTAGTTATGGCAGGTACAGAAATACCAAGCTTGTCCTAGACACAGTGATTGTGGTATACCTTAATGATTAGGTGACTGGTATTTTTAGGTTCTAGCATTCAGGACAGTGTAGACACTGGTGTCACATTTTTTCCTCCATTTAAGCTAACTGGCTTTGGATCAGCCCCCATTCCTTCAAGATGACATTATGCTTGTATGGCTTCATGTTTGTTTTTTTTCAAACACCAAATACCTATACTTCATTATCATGTTTAATGTTTTTATTTTCAGCTTTAAATGAGCCTACCATAGACTATGGTTTCCAGCGATTGCAGAAGGTCATCCCAAGACATCCTGGTGACCCAGAGAGACTAGCCAAGGTGAAAGACTTGATAACATTCCAACTTCCTTTTCTCATCACATATTAAATATACAGCTATAAGTCAGTGGGAACCAACCTTTTTTGGAAGGCGTGCCACAAATTAGTCTCCAAGTGCTATTCTGATCCCTTTCCTTTACCCTATCTTCCCCTTAGCTTGCTGCTCCTTGGCCTGTGTTTCCCAAGTTGCTGCTCTGCCTTCTGCTTCCTTCTGTGTGCTCAGTGTTGTAGTGACAGGGAGGTGGGGGGGAAGGTCATGCCCCCAGGCTCTGGCCTGGCCCTCCAGGGGACACTTCCGGGTCCGCCGCCGGCATTTCCGGCCTTGGCAACCGGCTGCTGGAGGACACCCTCTCTCCCCCACTGTGCTCAGCGATCAGCTGCCGAGGGACTTCTCCCCCTCCCACTTGGCTGCAGACCTGGAGGGGGGTGGGTGCAACAGACCCACGGTATGCCACTGTGCATGCTCCCTGCCAAATCTCTTTCTTCCTGCTCCATGCACTATTTGCCATTTTGCTGCCCATTCCTTTTCCAGTCTGTGTGCAGCACACACAGGAGCTATCTGTACCATTTGTAACATCCACTTGTTGGCCACCCCTGTTGGAAGTAATTTTTTGCTATTATAGCCCATGTGTTGCATACAAAATTTCTTTTGCTAAGAGTCGGTATCAGAGCTGATAGCCATCAGCTGCAGATACCCTCCTAATGGCTCAGTATGTTCTTTGTTTCTTATCCAGAAGTGGCAGTTCTCTGCCTTTAAACAGAATCCTGCTGACCTCAATAACGATTGAGGTTCACTAGCACAGAGCCAATCTGGGATAGTCCGTCAGCAAAATCAAACCTTAGTATTACATATTCTGGAACACTATTGGGCTGTAAAGTAAAGTGGGTTCTCTTAATATTTGTACAACATAGGGCAAAATAGGTCCTGATCGATGACTGGAGCTCTTACGCTTTACCATAATATCAATAATAATAATCGTAGCCACACTCCAGCACACTCCAGCTAATTAGCATGCGTCAGAGCAGGCATCTGGCATGTGTAAAGGTGCCCAATGTTCTTAAGGAATTTCAGGACTATGGAGAGCTCCTGAATCAAAGGACAGAACAGTGATCAGTCCATTTACAAAAACTATGATCAACGGTGCTGTTTAGGTTCTAGGTTGAGATTTTCCAAAGCGACAGACTAATGATTTTGGGTGACCAACTGGATATACCTCAAAAGGTCCTGATTTTCAAAAGATATGCTTAGCTAGAAATTTGCTAAAATAAAGAACACTTCATAGTGGTTCAAGGTAAACACCACCCAAATCACTTGTCACTTTACAAAAACGTAGCTGCAGTCTGTATTTTCATTACAAAATGGGGCAGCGAACAATTTTCCCCTCCTGTGGAGATCTTAATGTTGTCTTTTTATACATGTCTCTACAAGGAAATGCTGTTGAAAAGGGCTGCTGACCTAGTTGAAGCACTATATGGAACGCCACATAACAACCAGGTCAGAATGTCTCCCTTTTTGAAAACTTCCTTTCAAAATTGTATAAAAATGTTCTCAAAATTAAAAGGATCTTGTTGCTGTTACTGTCATTCAGGATATTATTCTGAAGAGAGCTGCAGATATAGCGGAAGCTCTGTACAGCGTCCCCAGAAATCCCAGCCAAATTCCTGCTTTGTCTAGCTCCCCTGCTCACAGCAGCATGATGGGAATCAACTCCTATGGCAGCCAGTTAGGAGTCAGCATTACAGAGTCAACCCAAGGGAACAACCAAGGTAAAAACTGCATAAAGGGCAAAAGTAAAAATAGAATACTAAAATTTAAATGTTGGCTTCTCAACTTTGATAGCTGCTCAGTGTAACAAGTAGAAAGATGGCTCTGTGGCTTTAACTGCTAGTGTTAATGAACAACCAGGACAAGCCAGTCTCTGTGTATTTCCTGTGTTGTCAACAGTAAGGATTTGGCTTTGCGTGTCACAGCAAAGGAATTTTCAACTAAATTGCTGCTGCAGAATAGGGTCCTGCTTACATTCTCATTGCTTCATAGGACTAGGTAGAATAAACCAAACAAAACAACAAGCGATAACTTAAAATATATTCAGGGAACAGAAGGCTTGATCCAAAGTCCTTTGGCTTCAGGGGCTTAGAATGGAGCTTCAAAGAACTATTTTAAACACAGAAGCAGGATTTGAGTCTATAATTGAAAGAAGTAGCAGATAAGTTTCTGGGCTTGAAGTATCCAGGAAAGAAGCAGTCTCAATCCAAGTGAAGTAGTAGTTCAACCATCTACTTTATCTTAACCTAATTATGTCAATGAATTTGACCACCTGTAAAGGAAATGAGCAGTTAGCTGGGATGGGGGAAATGAAAGGCAAGTTATAGTGGGCCATAAAACCAGTCCCTCTGTTATGGTCATGAGTTTTGTTGTCCATTAAAGTTAGATATTTCTGTTTCTGCCTTCTAAAGCATTGTTTAGGTATCTACGAGGTCAGAGATTGAGCAGTTGCTTTATGAAAACTAGTCTCCCATTAGTGATGGGTTGTTTTTCTCCTTTATTATTTTTTTTTTTTTTGAGAGAGTTCATTCGGGAGCGATTGACTAGTTGACAAGTTTCACCCATATAGTTTATACAAAGACATAGGATCCATTGGATGAGGTCTATCATCTGCTGTGATGAGTGCGCATCAGTTTTGTTGTTAGGAGTGTTGGCAGGCTTTGTATTTGTTCTTTGGCAATGGCTGACTCTCATTGAAAATGGATGGGACTCAGGTGTCTAAATCATTTGTGAAAATGTTATCTACAGTTTCGTTTCTAAAATTTAAGGCTGAATTCCAACTTCTGTTTTTCAGTTATACTTATTCCTGGTAGAACATGAAAGCCAGTAAATGAATCAAACTGCCACCATATAAAAAGGCAGAAGAATCAGTCAAGTTTTTAAAAGTTTCTTGTGCAATGTTAACTTGCCAAACTGCATACATCAAATATTTTCTACTGCTGTTCTCCCTGCTGAATGTAAAACTTAATGTATCACTGTTTCTTAGCAATACGTCACAAAATGCATGCACTGCAGCAAGGTGTGCCACCGCTAGTTGTCCCTGGGGAACCTAACGTCCACGCTCGTTTGGACACAGCCTTTAAGAGATTTCTTTGAGACAGGGAAATGCAGAAAATAGTTCAACCATATTTGTTGACTCACGGTGAATTGTTTTTGTTTATCAGGTTACATTCGTAATACAAGCAGCATCTCACCTCGAGGTTACTCATCCAGTTCAACACCTCAGCAGTCTAATTATAGCACTTCCAGTAATAGCATGAATGGCTACAGCAATGTTCCCATGTCTAACCTGGGTGTTCCAGGCTCACCTGGATTCATTAATGGCTCTCCAACAGGATCGCCCTATGGAAGTAAGCATTTTTATATTAGATTTTGTTTTTTGCTTAGGTTAAAATGCCATTTCAAAGTTTCTGCTTCTGATTTCTTTCAGCTAAGGATCTCAAATTCTTTAAAAACCTTTATTAGTCCTATTTGATTCCTGTGCTATGTTATGGTTTCCCTATCCCAAAGCCATCGAAAGAATAATGCCTTTGCAGGTAGTCTCAACAGAGACATAGGGTTTGCTTCTGGAAAAGTTTTATAGAACAAGATTATTTTTCTGTAGTCATTTTTAAAATGATCCTATAACATCTTATATCTTTGCTGTGGTGTTCTGTGAAGTGGTTCTAAGACACCAATAAATCATCATTTTCCTTTGGTTATTGGAGTAATTTTTTTAGGAGTATATTAAATTTTTACATGGCCCTCTAGGTTGTTTGGCTAGGACTTTCGAACGAACCTAATAGAGGTATTCACCTAAATCACATTAACTTAGATTGGAGTTGTACCTAAAGAGGTAAGATGCTTCTTTGGAAAAGCCCAGCTCATTTGTTATTAAATTCTGAAAATTGGATGGGTTGTGGAAGCTAAACTACCCCTCTCATCCCTCAAGGTAGTTTCTTCCAGACTGGATTGAGGTTGGAGAAACTTCCATTTTTCTCTTTTTTGTAATAATCATCCACTTATAGAAAGAGCATTTCAGTCCCTAGGGCTGTGATGCCAGTGCTACATTTACTTTTTCTGGGAGACAAAAAAAACCCCCAAACCCAGCCCAACCTGTTGCACGTAATGGCCTTGACTTGTGCCTATAGCTGTGTCTTTAGGACTTGACCCCAAAATCCTTCATCACATGACCATAGGACAAGAACAGACCTCCTAGGTGAGAGTTCAGTCCCCTACTACTACATGCTACTCTGTTCAAATTTATCAAACTCTTAATTTAAAATTATTTCAATTTGTTTTTCTCCCTCCCTCCTCTTGGCAGAGTATTCTAGAACTTTACTCCTTTGATTATAGAAACCTTCTCTCATTTCAGCCCAATTGTTTATTATGCCAACATTGTCCTCTTTCTCCCTGGTGTTTACTTGCCTGAGATGTTTCAGTGTAGTCACAAATAATCCCAGTGATCTTTAAATGCCAAGTGTTTTAAGACTCAGACACTTGCAACTACTAACTGCATGTTGTAATACACAAATACAATGAAATTATGAGTAATGGTAAACTACAATGAATCTTCAGGTGTTATCTGCAATGAGTCTGCAATTGTTTTAAAGCACAAGTGAACCTCATAAAATAAAAAAGGATCTGAAACTTGCTGCTTCTATTGTCTATGTACTCACCATATTTCAAAATAAGTAATAAGCAGCTGACCAAAGAGCCTTATAATGAAATGCTGACATGCTGTTTAGCTAAAGAAAATATTCCCTCTTTGAAAAAGAATAGATGAAGAGTATGCTCCAAATCTAAAGCTGTGAGCAAGGACAATGTTTCCTTTAATCTCTGAATTCATGTGAATTTCTTGATCTGCTTAATTTTTCATTTTGGTCTTTCCCAATCTGCAGCTACACTGACCTTTTAGAAGACTGAGCGAGTAATCATCATCATAACAGATAATCTATGCTGAATTCCATGTAAAAGATGCCTAAAATCATATAATTCCCATGGAAGTGTTATGTGAATTGAATTAGCAGTAACTGAGACCTCAAGGGAGACCAAGTTCCTAAAGATTTTGATAGCCTGAGCTATGAGAGAGAAACAAACGGCTGAAAGAGAGTCTGGAAGATCGAATTAATTCCACTTGTGACTCTGTTACTGACATGACTTTGGGCAAGTCACTGCCCTACTCTGTGTTTCAGTTTCTCCCATCTGTAAAAAAAAATATTATTAGGACAATCTGTACACACTATGTAGTGATGCAGTGAGGCTTAATTATGGCCCAGCTCTGTTCTTACTGAAGACAGGTTCATAGCTCAGACTGAGTTTAGTGATGCAGGATTATGGCTAAAATGCTTTGAGTGCCTTCACTGAAAGTAGCTAGAGTGCAAAGCATTCCTTTTTTTTATTAAAGCACATGTCCTAGATCTATTCCAACAGAGTCAGATTCTATGCTCTATATTATGATGATCAAACTAGATGATCCTGATGCTTCTTTCTGGCTCTGAAATCTGCTGCAGTGATGTAAGGCAAGAAGTAACACACAAACGTGGATACAGGGTCCACTGCTTGTCCAGTTTTAGTCAGTGGCAGTTCTGCCATTGACTTCATTGGGCACAGGATAGCCCTATAGCTATGGCTACAGCCATTTCAGCCTAAAATTCATTTAAAGCCTGAGTTTTCTGGTTTCAAACTCCAGCTCACATGAACTGTGATTTTGTTTTTCCTGTCTTGTTTTCTAGAAGTATATAATTCCCATTAAGGTTATTTTTCTTGATGAAAATGAAACAGGTGCTTCAAATTACATGTTTAAAAATAATACTGCATATAGGGTTGTTTGTTTTTTTCCCTCTACTGCTGGTAAGGGAGTGTTTCTGGATGTGGGGGGGATTAAATCTGTATTAGGTATGTATGACTCCTCTTTTTCCACTAGGAAAAGAGTAAAGAAAATGAAATATTTTGTTACTGTTTTTAGGTTTGAGTTCAGAATCAAATCTAAAATTAATTTTATATCCTTGAGGTAATATGGACATTTCTGCAAACCTATTTATAGGTTGTAGTTAGTTTGATCAGTCCTACTCTCTCCAGTCTAAATGACAAATTTAGTCTCATTTTGCTGTTCTTTCCACTGTGTCCCTTCATTTGGTCTTGCTATTGCAAGTATAAAAGCATTATTTTCTGCAGTTCTCATAGCAACAGTTTTTGCCCCTTTTTAGATCACCTCCGAAAATATTATTGCCCAGGTTTGTAGTTAATCAGAGCAGAAGATTAAAAAATATTTTATCTTGGGAAAACTGTTCTTAACTCTTAAATATTACTAGTCTATGTAAACCATATCCCAAAATGCTTTAAATACAATTGCATTTTCTTTCATTGTGTAATTGTTGAGCCTGGTTTAGTGATGGAGAAAACTTGGAAAACAATGGATATAAACATTTCGGGCAATTTTACTGAGATCTTATTAATTTCATTTTTTAAAAGGACTGCTCTTTTTTCATTTTGCAGTAATGTCTTCAAGTCCAACAGTTGGCTCTTCTAGCACTTCTTCCATCCTTCCATTCTCCTCCTCTGTCTTCCCTGCTGTCAAACAGAAGAGTGCCTTTGCTCCTGTCATCAGACCCCAAGGGTCTCCTTCCCCTGCCTGCTCTAGTGGCAATGGAAATGGGTTTAGAGGTAAGACATTTACAATTGACTTTCAGCCTTCATGTGCACAGCCCACTGCATCCTGTACATAACAGTAGGATTTATATACTACTACTGTGCTAATGACTTGTATATTAGTGAATTCTGAATTCCAGATGATAAAATAGAGATGGGTGAAATAGAGAATCCTGATGATAAAATAGTGATGGGTATTTTTTTTTGAAGGACATGAGAATAAAATCACAGGTGAAATAATTGTTCTGGACTTAAACTCTTTAGTTTGTTATGACAAATAAACCAAATGTAGATTGCTGCAAGCCTCTATCTTTTCATTTCTCTAGTACATGGAGAAAACTGATTTTAAGAGCACAGCCAAATCCAGAGCCAAAGGCTGGGAGGGATTTACTCAGGTCATCTAGTCCAACTCCCTGCCTGAGGCAGAATCATCCAGAGCATCCTATACAAATCCATAATCTAACCTTTTAGTAAAACATCAACCCGGACACAACACAAGATATAACACTCTTAATCCGCTATAGGTAAAGCAGCGGGACCACAGCAGCCAATGTCCTGCTTCTGTAAAAGGTTATTAATATACTCTCAGGAGATCCCAGGTAGAGGAACATGCCCCATGCTAGAAAGGAAGGCACAAAACTCCACAGTCCATACCAATCTGACCATGAGATAAAATTTCTTCCTGACCCCAAATATGGCAACTGGCCTGACCCTGAGTGAAGAGGCAGGACATTCTAGCCAGAAACCTCAGCCTTTAAGTCCCAGCAGGAGCACTGGCACATGCTAGTCAAAATCCCCAGCCTTGGTTGCAGCCAACAACCAATACCTCTAGGGGGCGGGGGGAAAGAAAGAAGAAAAAAAAAAGCTCTGACACACAACAAAAGTTAGCAGGGGGGAAGAGCATGCAACAACCAGCAAAGTCCAGAAGCATGGGAAATACCCATTAGCAGAACAAAGGCATCTTTGTACAACTACATCATCCCTGACCAGTGGCTGTCCAACCTGTTCTTGAATAACTCCAATGATGGAAAGCCCACAACTTCCCTATTCAGTCTATGCCACTGCGTCACTGTTCTAACAGTGAAGATGTTTTCCCTGATATCCAGGCACTGGGTCCACATCCTGATCTCTGCAACAGGAGAGAAAAGGTGTCCTCCCTCTTGAGAGAAATGGTTGAGGATCTGGCCTACTCATTGGGTTCATGCCTTTGGAAAGTAATGGCCAAGTCTTGGGCTGCAGGGACTCTTAAACTAAAAAAAAGCCTGCCTACATATGCAGCTCTGTATAATTTCTTGAAACCTGCAGGAGGGTTTAAGATCATGCAGGACATAAGCCCTATAGTGCATTCACAGGCATTTTAAAGGTCAAACCAAATGTGAATAGTGAGATGAGAATGGAAACCTGTGCTAAATTCCTTCCCTTAACAGCCTGGTAAATACAGTCCAACCCCTGATAAAAATAAAACCTTTATAAGACCTATGAAATGATCCAGTTCCTTTAGGATTGATGAGATCCTAGAAAACATGACTCCAGGAATTCAGCCATACCAAGAGTCATGCAAAATAAGCCATACAAACTGCACCTGTTGATTTGGGTCTATTAAGATCACAGGGACTTTCATAAGTTGTGACTGTGAAAGAAGCAAACTTCAGTGGGTTGATAAAAATGATAATCTTTTAAAAAGAACAGGAAACAAAACTTAGCTTAAGTTTTGTACCTTGAGTACAGGTCAAGGATGGAGTAGGTGAATTTCAGTGAGATAATAAAATGTTCTGGCTTCATTTTGGTTAAGGTGAAGACAAGATGCGAGAGCTAGTAATAGCTGTAGCTCAGGACATACCAAAGGGGAGAAAGGGTTAAAGATAAAGAGCGAGATGGCTACAGATGGCTATAGATATAAAGATTATCAATATGGCTAAATGGATAGAGATAAGTACCAATGGATGGCTGTAGATTCCAAAGGATGCTAGATTCCAAAGCAGGAGAAAACCCAAGGTGCAGCAATGGATGTGTATAGACAGATCCAGAAAGTACTGATGATGGTTATAAAAGGATAGTAAGATCCCAACTATGGATGTTGATAGACACTTATAGATAGCAACACATACATGGATGTCTACAGATCTGGATAGCTACCAGGAGATGGATACCTAGGCAGCAACAGATTCCTGTAGATAACTATGGATGTTACAGATATCCTGATGGATATTGATAAATAACTAGTAATATTACTAGTAACTAGTAATATCACCAAATGTCTACAGATAATGCTAAGTCCCAATGAATAATTACAATATTAATAGGTATAAATCTCTGCCTGGGGCAATTAAACCAGTAAAAAGAGGTGCCTTCCATAGGTTTGCGGGTATAGCTTTGTTTTGAGGAATGGCCATGAGGCACCTTTATACCAACACAACTGCATCTCTGTGGTGGTACAGTCAAAGCAGTACAACTTGTGTGTCTAGACACAAGTTGTTTATGTACAAGGACTATCACAGATACTAAGCAGTTACCTTTTCAGAAATCAGTAGGAGACTTACACAATAGAAGACTTGCCGTCTCCCCTCTCAGAATCAGAATGTTAACACTTAACCTGTTACGAATCCTCGTGTATTGTCTTCATACTGATTTAACTATTTCTGTAGAGGGATTCATTTTTTTCCCTTTATTAACTGAAGTACTTAAATTAATGCAAGCTGGGGAGAACAGGTTTTGAAGATCCAGTCGCACAGTCTAATTCCCCAACTAACATTTTCATAGTGTCAACAAACACACGTGGCTAAAAAGTCAACTGGGCGATCCCGAAGAAACTTCCTGAATGGAGTTACTGTTACTGTTTTCCCTGCAGTAGCAAGAGATGGCTAATCTCCATTGCAAAGCCTTGATCTTGTACTATAGCCAACCTCCTCTCAGAACTGGCTGATCTACATGCGATTTCACTGTATTGGCCAGAAAACTGAAGGGTTACAACCTTCTGGTGTGAGCATAATTTTACACTTAAAATATATACACCCCCAAAATTCGCACTGGTGGGAAATATTTACTAAAAACCTCTAGTATGGAGAAAGAGTTTGCAAGGGAAGGCAAATTATTATTTTATAAAGCAGATATAGAAAGTATGCAGTAACTCAAGCAATTAAGTTAGACAGGAAACTCAGCATGCCTCTTAGCTTTCAGATTCATGTTGTACAACACACCCAAGCCATGTGGAATACCCTCAGATAACCCTGTCCTGTGCCATGTGTTCTTGCTTACAACTTTCAACTACCATCTGCTATACATTCTTATTATATAACAGGACATGATAGGTAGTGAATAAGCAGCAGTCCACACTGAACACAATTCAGTTCTATGTGCTCCCCCAAATTGATAGCAGGTGATTCTGATCAGAACAATTGTGAGCTTAGTCCATGTTATATGTCAATCCAGTTTAAGAGAGGCACAGGGAAGATATAATGTGACGTGATGCAAGACGGCGTGATAAGTACACAAATGCCTAATCAACTCATCTCAGATGTAAGGCAGCTGATGGGAAAAGCAAGAAAATTGGAAACTGCTGGAACAGCATGGGTCACTGACTTCCCAGATTACCTTTGGCCAGCTCAGCACATCTCAACATAAAAATGCAAGTTCAGTTACAAGGAATGGCAGGCACATCTCAGAAGGTCAGATGTTCAGTTAACCCTCAGGACCTCAAAGGATACTAAAGCCTTGTCTACACTTGGAAATAGTCCCAGTTTACCAACTGGGAGAGGTGCACTGGTAAACATCCTCTTCTCTAAGGAGGATGTTCAAGGATGGGTGCCACTTTGATAAACACAGTAAAGCCAAACTATTGGTTCTAGTAACTTTACCAAAATGAATGGAGGTTGTGATCCCACTGTGCTGTACAGACAAGCTGAAGAAGGCCAGTCCTTACCTGAAGAGCCTAGAATGGTGGGGAAGGCAACTGAGAACTACCTTTCAAAAGACTTCTGTGCTTAGGGCTCAGTACTGATGTAGCTCCTTGTGATGATTAACTCAAAGGAGATCCTAACCAGCTAAAGGCTTCTAAGGACTACCATAATATAAATGTTTAAATATTACACAGATGTCTGAATCATGGCTATTTCTGAGCATAGACAAGGCCTTAAAAATATTGAAGAGGACTTGCAACAGATTTCTCATTCCCTTATAATCTTTAAAGAGGGCCTGAAATCTTTTTATCATATATATAATTATGATATGAATTACAATTTTATATATATATATATATATATAAATAAAACTTCATTTTGTTTGCATGTGAATGACAGGAAGCATCAAGTAAAAAATTTCCCCAACTTCTTGGCAGTCAAGATGCATATTGAGTACTCCCACATGACAGGGAAATCTCAGATATCCTTTCTACTAAGGGTGGTGTAGACATAGCTGTTAACAATGCTTAGAGTAGTGCTAAATAATCAAAATAAATTCCTCCTCCTATAATTGCTCAGCTTTCATTCAGTGGGATGTCAACTTCATCAGTTTTCCAAGTGTCAAAGGATCATCCCGGGTACACAGTCTTGATTTAAAATATATAAACATGCTTTTTATGTATTTGTTTTAGGGTAAATCGATTCTTAGTTGACAACGTGCAAAAACAGTGGGGGCACTCTTATTTCATGATAGCTTAAGTAAAGCAGCTTCAAAAGCACACCTTTAGTTAAAATAGGATACCTCTACATGTAGACACTGCCAACTTCTTCTTTCTTAGACTGAGAAAAAAGCGGTGTTTCATAAAACTTGTTAAACAATTATTACTTATTATCTAGTGTAGACAAAGACAGTGTTTGTAAATGAACCCTAAGTCTGACAGAGGGATAGGTGAGAGTTATCCTTCAACACAGCTTTTCAGAAAAATGCATTTTTTTTTTTTTAACTTTAAGCATCAACTCTCCATGAAAAAGGTTGATCTTTTGTTGAAAACCCTAATCCAAAAGTGCTTTCCTTAGTTTTGCTCAAAAAATGAAAGTTTGTTTGGACATGCATATCAG